GGTATGGTTTTGTTCTCTCTTTATCGTTTCCTTTGGTCGTTTTTTCCTTCACCAACCCCACTAACGTCTCTCCTCTCCCTTCTTTCAACTTTTCCCTCTATTTTCTTTCCCAGCAACCAGTCCACTCTCCCATTGGCCACAACTTAACAAGTTACCTCATTGGTCAAAACTTTAACGAGATACGTGGGAAACTTAAACTTAAAAGTAAACCAACCTATTCACTTGTACATTTTTTTTAAACATTGCTTCAAAAGAAATGCATTAATGACATTACAAATCAGGAGCTATTCGATCACCTTTTAAATCTAATACCAATGAATTATAATAAATAAACTCTATACTTGGTTTTAGCAAGGTATTACACAACACTAAAAACTGACTGATACAGTAGATATTATGAATCTGACCTTCATGCCAATGTGTTGTATTTACATGTAGGCCATTGTCTACTGTATACTTTAGAGAGAGTAGGGTTGACTGCAGATGTTATGTGATTCTGCTAAATACTATACTACCAGAAAACCCCTACGCAATCTATATATTATTAAGTGGGAACGCTAAGATACTGTACATATAAAATTGGGTCAACTTCACAAAACCCATTTTCAGGCCAAAGAAAACAAACTCATTGTATGCATTTCATCCTGTAGGCATCCAACTAAAATCATGGCCCTGAATGAAAGCAATCTGTATGGCTAGACTGAGGGGCTTCCACTAACTCCTGGCGTTCCACTGACTTTATTTCTCATCAGGCAGCATTATCTCTGGCTCCTAGCCTCAGAGGAGAAATACCAATAGGCAAGATATAGCCTGGGATCCAAACTGAGACAATGGTGAAACAGAGCATATCAGTTTGGATTCCAGGCTAGGGAACTCTAGTGTCAATCTCGCTCTACTTTCAAGTCCATATAAAATAATAAATAAATAAAAAAGGAGAAATTCTCAGGAGACGGTGCCGATTCATTTTGTCGGATAAAACAGCAGTAATTTGGGAGAGAGCCGTGGCTAATGAGAAGGACTTTGATGTGTAAATCCTGGAGCCCAAGCAGAGAGCAGCCTCGCTGATACCGTCTCTTCTCTACACTACAGCACTCCTCAGGTACCGTCATGGCGTGTGTGTGTGTGTGCAACGTTGTATGAATTGTATCAGACGTTGTTGTACTTGTATTACGTTCTGAAGAATGTCAATACACACACACTCCGGTGGCTCCGGATAGAACTACAAAAAAATAGTTTCAGTAATCTTAATATTACATATTCATATTTCTTGTTTTATATCTAAATCAGAGACTAATAATATAAATCTACTTTACGCAGCAGCCCTTTCTCTGTTGATTTCTAAGCTGCAGAGTAATTGGATCTCTAGCCAGTACACTGTAGTCTGTTAGGCAGCAGGGAAATTAAATGAATGCCTATTAATCAGAGGATAATTGGACACATATCTCTGATAAATGACACAGCTCCACTTACAGTCACGTAGAAATTAGGCCATTTTCAACGACTCATTTCTTATCTCACTAAAGAAATGAAATGTTATATAACCCCACAGAGCAAATGGGATGCTGGTGAAGGGGAATAAAGGAGACAATACTAGGGTTGCAAAATACCTGGAACTTTCCTCAAATTCACAGGTTTTCCAGAAATCCCGCCGTTTGGAGGATTCTCGGATTTCCTGCATATTCGTTGCTTATTCCAGGAATCTTCCAAGCGCCATTTATGGAAAATGTAGGCTAACTTTTTGGAAAAGTTACAAGAATTTTGCATAACTACTGTTTTTTGTTTGTTTTGCAAAGCATATGGAACGTGTTTGTTCATGAATAATAACTTTGAATACAATGTTGTTGTTCAAAGATTAAAGATATTATGCTTGGGGAGAGTGTAGCATCCACCCTCCATTTGATACAAAGAAAAAAACATATTGTAAATGGTAGGGTCAAACTAATTTTTTAATTTTCAGCTTACATCTTTTCATGTGTATACCTGTATTGTTTTACAGCATATTACCATATTGTTATGTAAATCACTGCTATTTACTGATGACTATGAATAACTGACAGTTTCACTAATGTCATGCCTGATTATCATAATATCCTTTTTTCCCATATGGTAATTTATGAACAATGACTAGGAATAGGGTTATATTTATATGTCCATTATCCACAGCTTAACATGAATCATGCATAGGGAAAAAATTGACTTATTACAATTTTTGTCATCTCTCCCCCACCCTAATTCTCTTCTCTCATTTCTTCCTGATGAAAGAGAGTGGGATCTACAAATGAGTTCCTTTGGCCTCACATTAATCATGCTAATGCTGCTTCCCGTCCACCAGAGATTATCAACTACAGTGGATCCTATCCACTATCCATACAGCAAATATGGATGGAGTCAAGGGCTTGAGTAATGCGTAGTACCAACTGGCTCTGCTCCTCCTTTTCTCTCCTCTCCTCTCCCCTCCCTCTTCTCCCCCTCACCGAGGTGACTTACCAGTACTTCTGCCACTGGTCCTCCTCAAAGATGTCCTCTGGAATGGGATCAATAAGGACAAGGTCTGACACCTGCCTGAGGACGGGAGGGAGAGGGAAGGGAGAGGAGAGGGAAGGGAGAGAGATAGAGAGAGAAGAGATGAGAGAGAGCTAGGAGAGATCAGAGAGATAAGAGAGATGAAGACTATCTACGAGACGCGCTATCTACTAGCCTCTATCTCCTCTCATCGCTCGCCTGCTACGCGTCCCTTACTCCACGTTTACATCAGAGAGAAAGAAAGAAGAAACTGATAGCGGGCCTCTAGTGTCCATTCTGACCCGTCCCCTATACCCTCCCTGTCCTGTCCTGTCCTGTCCCATAATGAGTGTGAGAAGGATGGCTCTGTCCCGCCTGTCTGTCTGACTGCTCCTGGCCCACTGGCAGACAGATGGATTGGTCCACACCCCATCACCACATCCAGGGGGGGAATAGATTTTATTCTGCAGGTGTCATCCTCTCACCATCGCTTAATTTAACTGCTGCTCATCACACTGATGAAACGCTAAATCTCTCACCTCGGGGCGGGAGTGGGAGGCTGATCCCTCCCTGGTCGTGTTAATCACTAGGTTTCTCAGTAATGGGGGTTGGTGTGGATGGGGGTAGAGAATTATGATGTCCCTGGGTTTGATGCAGTGCTGAGTCTAGCTACAGATCGTGATGATACTTTTGAGGTATTGGAGTTACTGTAGTCAATAATGTGTAGCAAGGGAATAGGATGGAACTCAAACGGGGGAAGAGAACTTGAGAATCCCCAAAGTTTGTCAAAAACTGTGCAAATCTTTCCCATTCATTTGGAATGGAGGCATAAAGCTGAATTTACACAACCACTTTTGAGATATAAACTTATCGACCAACTTTTGGAGTGAGCCTATCACTCTAAGCAATCTCAATATATTTTGACTTGTGGCAAGTTTGGCAACAAGAAACGAGTTAGCCTATATTTTCCATTGAGATTCCGTTTCTAGGTGGGCAGGGAGACTCACCCGTCATGGATGTGGCTGTAGAACCTGGCATTGAGCGTGCCCAGTTCAGACCCCACCAGGATGAGAGGCGTGGCTAGACCAGCTAACTTGATGAGGCGGTGGAGATTGTCCACCATTCTGTAGGGGGGAAAGCAATCAATCAATGAATCAAATGTATAAAGCGATTTTTACAACAGCTGTCACAAAGGGCTTTTACAGTAAAACACATCAACCCCTAAAATGGCAGCTACACCACAACAAGAGAAACACTGCCATTGAAACCCTTGAAATCAGCCAATGTAAAGTAGCCTAGCGGAAGAAGCACCTGGCTACTTTGCCTTGTAAAGCAGGATAGATACAACAGAAAATCATCCGAAGGAAAAAGAGAGAGAGGGAGCATCATCATCAGGTGAAATACAGCTCCTCACAGACGCCCATCTGTTGTGTTTCTTACACTAATAAATTAACATAGGAGAGGAGGGAAGAGGCTGGGGCTGGGATGAAGAGGTTTCACTGCAGCAGCAGGGAGAAGAGAGGCATGCAGTCATCAAACCCTCAGCTTGCCAGCTTATTGAATTCTGGGTAATTGATTGCTTGTATCAGAAGAGGGCGGCTGCCTGCCTGCCTGCCTGCCTGCCTGCCTGCCTGCTCTGCTGTTAGCCCGGGCCAGCTCCCAAGGTAGCAGCGACTGCTGACCTGACCGTCTGCATACAACCACAATGACATCCACCCATCACTCAGTCAGATTTAATGCTTAACAACACGTTACTTTGTCAGCCAGAGACATTAGGGGAGAGTCACGGACAGGGCAGGGAGATGGTGTGGCAATGGCGTAATGCAGTGGACCCAGATGTCTCTGATTGGACAATCCATGAGGTGGCCCCACATGGCACTGAGCCAAGGGGAATGCTACATCTGACAGGGAATGGTGTGTGTGCTTGTTGAGAATCAGTGCTTTAGAATAACTTGCATCAAACACCTATTACTTTGACTGTAGTAGTAGACTATTAGGTAACACTTTACATTAACAATGCATGAAAAACAAGATGTAGAGGATGCAAATTTGCACAATAGAGTAGTAGCCTATAACTGCTTCATTTTGGTATTCTGGGGCAAGCAGTGATAGTTAAACTTTAAAATGACAGGACAGAGAAAAACAAGATGCTTACCGTCCAGTGGTTGACATCCCCCAGACTTTCTCCGTCCCTGTACTTTCATTCTGCAGGACTCTTTTGCTGAACCCCAGTCCCACTCTGTCATAAGTACACACCTGTGGGTGGGAAAATGGGAACATCAATCAATCAAATGTATTTTTTAAGCCTTTTTCACATCAGCAGTTGTCACAAAAACATTGCGAAATTGTCCTGGTTCCAATCATATCATACACAATCATCTTCTGGTCAGGGAATGTAGACCATCAATTTGTTTGTACCAGCAAAAATAAAACCCTTCTAAAACGGTTGAATCATTAACAGAGTTGCCTGGACGATGTACTGTATTTCTCCTTACCTTGGTTAGCAGTGCAATGTTCTCTTGTACATGGAACCAGATGTCAGAGGACATACCAGTAGGGGCATCCAGTATGACTACACAGGAAACAGAGTAGTTAGGGCTTACATCTGCGAGGAGATGACAGTTGTGTTGACATTTCTGGCAAGCTAGCAGACTTACCAACTGGTTGTCCTTGTCCTTTGCACATCAGATGCATCTTTTGACCCAAACCGATATCTATAATTTCACCACCTGAAAAAAAACAAGATACAAATTAATCAATGATGATAATCTTAATCATAATGGAAGGGTTTTATTGGCCTTCTGTACTCATGTATGCATTAAAGTATTACATTGAGGGAGGAAAGTGAATGTCATGTTCGCAGCAGGCTACCTTCTGGCATTAACAGTTGGCCCTCTCTTTGCAATGATGCATAGTTCAGAAAAGGAGGGATGAGGATGATGAGGAGGAGACATTTTCCAACTGAGGTAAGAGTCGACCAGCATCTGCTGGTTTTAACCCCTTGTTGTGGTCGATGATGTTGTTGTTGTTGTTGACTGGTCTCTCCTGAACCTGCAGTCTGTCTGTCAGTCTGTCATAGGAGAATAATAATCAACATGTTATATCAAAGTGTGGATAAGCTACCTAGCTAGCAGTTACAGCTGTCAGAAAGCCATAGTTACATAAACATGTGTGTCAGTCAAAATGCCTCTACAATGAGCCTTGGAATGGCTTTAACTAAAGCATTGTGTCCGTCCACATGTAAGTCATGTAGTCAGTGTAACGTTTATGGAAGATAGTAATATCAGGCCTAGGTACAATATTACTCGAACTAGTCATTTACTAGGCTACTAGCTATGCCTAGCGACAGTACTTAGCTAGTTCAGCTCTGCGTCAGTTTGATCAGAACATCTGAGAGGAGATGGCAGTGGTGTTGACATTTCTGTCTCGCTAGCTAGCTAGTAGATTAGCAGCCTAGCGAAGCACAGTAGATAGCTACCTTTTTGTCTGTCCTAGCATCTCCAGTGGCTTCTTGACCGTCTGTCCTTCTGCGCATTTTTGACTGTCAAGTTTTAATTAAGTATTCTTTAAACGATCTATCTATCTACTAGCTGAAAACGGGATGTAAATCCACCGGGTTTAATGAATGCAACGCGTTAGCTAGAACTTCCTGGAAATGTACAGACGCCGAAATGGGACAAAAATGCTTTTAGCTCAGAGTCGACACTGCATCAAAAATTAGGGGCTCGTCTGAGCAGATCATTATTGTCAAATCGGTGTTCACCGCCTTCCAAAGTGTCTTGCACTATGGGGATATGGTCATTCATATGGAGGACTAAAAGTGCCACAATTAAATAAATAAATACACCATTAAATAATTACTTAAATGTGTCATTAATTAATTCAAATTAGAATTAAATACATAAATGTGTAATTAAATGTATCATTAATTAATTCAAATACCGATTCATTTTATGTAAAATACATATATAATTATTTCACTATTTACATTTACATTTCATGATCCTGCATTGCAGTGATTCATGAATTACTTAAAACTGTCAAACTGACCCATCAAAGTCAGTGGGCGGGGCTAACGCGAATCTAGTCTGATCCATTGCTTTGGTCTGAAGTAGAGTAGGCCAACCTGGATAGAGACAATGGAGGATCTCCGTGAACTTTCCAGGGAGTTGGTTAGAGACATTTTAAACTTAGCAGAGGATGTAGAAGCAGGACCTGCTGACATTATCCGGAATTGATTTGTCTTGGCTTGATGCAGCGGGTAACCAATCAGGCGTTAGGTTCCGCCTACCAACTTTTGATGGGTCAGTTTGACAGTTTTAAGTAATTCAGGAAGCACTCCAACGCAGGACCATGAAATGTAAATGTAAATAGTGAAATTATTATATATGTATTTTACATAAAATGAATCGGTATTTGAATTAATTAATGACACATTTAATAACACATTTATGTATTTAATTCTAATTTTAATTAATTAATGACACATTTAAGTAATTATTTAATGGTGTATTTATTTATTTAATTGTGGCACTTTTAGTCCTCCATACATTCATGTGTTCCTATTGGACAAAACACAACCAAAACAAACTGCAAATGCATCCAACAAGTTTGTAGAGTCACAAGCTTAGTAGTCATTGTGTACAAAGTACTAAACTTTTGACTAGGACTACTTTTCTTTGTCTGAGTGAGGGAAATACTGTAAATTAAGAAGACGATGTATTTTGAAAGATGAGATGTTGAGGATTATAATAAATACCGTTTTGATGTCATACAAGCAAGCCAAACACCCATGATTCCAAATGTACACTTCACATATCCAAATCATAAAACTCGGAGTCAGAGTCAACATTTATGATCACTATGTTTGATGTACAGTACTACAGTTACAAGATTACATGGATCATACCCTGGGTTGTTCTGAACAGAATGAGCCTATGTTTGTTTATTGTGAAGAAAATTCGCTGGGGCACATGCACCTGAATGCACTCATGACTCATTTCTATGTGCATCAAAATTACGATCTGTAACCAGGTTTCCATTCAACCTTTTTATGCGAGTAAAGTATATGTCAGATAAAAAATGTAATGTCAGGCCTGATGGAAACAGTACATTTTTCGGCAAACTTTCCAAATGTCGACAAACAAAATTCGCTAGACAAGGTGGAATCTTTTTGTGTCGGTAAAAATAATAATGCGAGAAATGTCACTGGAAACGCTTTTATGCGCAAACATTGATATAATAGGCTAACCATCATATCGAAGTAAACGTGATGTGTGGTCCTCCCACTACGACTCGTCGGGAAATCATGCCGTTTATTAGGCTACAGATTAAATAAATTATGATGAACTTCACAGGGCTTGATGCTCCTTTCCAATACATTTCGAGGGTCTTATTCTGGTGACATGATAATTGATTTTTGGCTGCCTGTTTGACAAATAAAAATAATGTAGTTCTTTTGTCCATAATAATAATGTCATCATGTGTAGACTATACCTGCGCGCTAGCCCAGTGGTTCCCAAACTATGGGGAACGCGAGGGGTCCTCCCCCCCAACAAAAATTAATAAATTGGGTGGTGCATCATCAGTTTTTCTCTTGTCATGTCAGTCATTGCATACCTTATGCCGCGTTCGCGTACTAGTCTGAACTAGGAAACTCTGACATTTCCGACGAGCAAACTGGTTGTAGTTATACACGTGCCGCGTTCAACGAATCAGCAAGTCGGAAATGTCAGTGTCCTAGTTCCGACTAGGATGTGAACGTGGCATTAGAGCGCTATTTATAACTTGTCAGAAATGTTCAGATCAACTAGCTCATGTCACCTAACGTTTTTTAGCTAAGTTTTTTAGCCCATAGATTTTGTTGTAATTTGTGAGTCACTCTTATATCACATGAATACACATTAGACAAGGCAAAATGTATAGAATTGCAATAAAATTAGCTTTAAAACTGCAAAATTGTCTCTGCACCCTATGACAAAATGTGTAGAATTGCAGGAAATAAGCTTTAAACTTGCGAAATGTTCTCTCCACCAACAAGAATGGTGTTAAAAGTTTGGGTCATGAACAGTGCTTATGATGATAGAAATAGACGTGGCACACATGCGCGCAGGGGGACGCGGGATGTTCCCCAATGCTGGAAGGGGGGCCTGAGTGGTAAAGTTTGGGAACCCCTGCAGCGCTTTTGGCTAGAACGCATGTGCCAATACCAGTGCTATATAACGCAACATTTTGTGTCAGAAAACCATCAGTAGAGTTGAAAATGCATTGGAAACCCATTTAACTTGTATTTTTTATTTGGTTCATGGGAATTTAACTGCAAAATGTATTTTATGTGCACTACGTCATCAAGCACAGCCTTTTATCTGCAACAAGTCAATTTGATGGAAACACATCTCTGGAGGGTAAATGCGCATATTGTTTTTTATGCAGATTCTAGAATATTTGCATGAACATTTGTCATCAATTGGATGGAAACCTAGCTTGTTTCTCTGAATTGCCTTGTGAAAGCCTAACCCTGTAAGATAATATTTTATAACTTAGCTAGTCATGTTGCCAAAATAACAGCTTTCAAACCATGCCCACCTGACCCAGATTGCGATTTATAATGGATAGTTTTTGGATTGAGGAAACAACAACAGTAGGCTAGTCTAATTGTGTGATGGCAGGGATGCAGGGTTGTGTTCCAAATGAAAGAACTAGAGGTGTGCTTGCTTTAGTTCCTCATAGGCACAGCTAGGAGAGTACCTTATAGTTGAAGACTCTTCTTTGAGTCATAAAAGTGCAGTGAAATTGCTTAGGAAATGTGCACGCTTTGGAGAGGTGTGTTGCCACTAGACACCAGAGTATGTCACATTGTGTAAAATCTTTCTATGCATTCTTATAACTTCAAATAACATTATTTGATATAGACAACTAAAAAAACATGATTGTGAGTTTAGGTCCTTAAAAGACCAAAACCTTCTCCAATAAGACTGAATAGAGAAAGTATTCAACAATAGCATGCTGTTAATAACAAATATAGGAGATTAAAATGGATACATGTCTTAGTGCATTCCCTCTGTACATTCAATACATACAGTTTTCAGGCTTCAATAGTGGCCTAGCCTAACACATTGCCAATGTAATTTTCCTGTCTGGGTTGGAGTTCGTAGCCAGCTGAGCAGCTACCAACAGGAGAACAACATTCTCCAGAGCCAATTGAATGCTGATGTTGTCTTTGGGGACCAACTTTCCATAGCATTGAAACACTGGTGTCCCAGTCGCAGCTCTAATGGCTTCACTGAGGTAGAGCCTCTGTCACGCAGCAGCCATGTTGGCTCCCCAGGGGAAAGAGCAGGGCTCAGAGGGGAGGGACACTGGAATCCTCAGGGGATGTCATCTGGATGCTGGAAACTCCTGAATGGGATAATGACGTTTGTTTGACTCATTTGTCTCTCTCTCTTGTTTGTCTCTCTCTCGCTCTCATTCACTCACTCACTCTGTTTTACAATGGTTCACATTCAATTACCCTGATCTGTTCTGATGTTTTGAGTTGCTTGATGATTTCCGTGCAAGGTGCTGAAGTGAAGAGGGAGGGTTGCAATATATCTGAATACCTCCAGGGGTCCCTGTATTCCATGAGCTCGGCCATACAGTATTCTGCTCTCTCAAACATCAACATAAGCAATGAACGACAGTGAACTGGACCAAAATAATAGCTTTTTCATGGTGAGTTTAAAATCTCACAGGTGTGTAAAGAAGAAGGAGCCAATAGAAACAGAGATGCATGCAAACTGAAGGGCTCTACAATACAGCTTTACTGTGAGGAAAATGGGGTTGGATTTTTAGCCTGGCTGAACCAGACTGAACACTGTGCTGTGCTCTCCATTGTTTCACATCAAACAACATCGAAATGTAGAGCAACCAGTTTGGATTCCAGGCTATTGGATCAGCTTACTTCAAAAGAAATACCCCAAACTACCACAGTGATTACATTTTTTCAGTAAGGGGCCAGTCAGTCAAGCTGTGATTGGGAAACAATTGAGTGTAATGCAGCCTAATTCATGCAAATTGATCTTTTTATACGT